AAAACTGTTTGGTAATTGTTCTCACCAGAAAGAAGTCTCCGAGGACTTAGTCTTACTTACTGAGAGGCAGGGGAAGTCATTTGCAGAACATGAGGGGACCGTCTCACTGAGACCCGATTTGTACATGTCTAAACTATCTAGCACATGGGCTTTGGAACTCACCAGAGCTGCCAGCTTTTTGTGCCAAAAAACTTAGAGGGTAAAGGCAAAGAGTACTCACCTGGCCCTTCCCAGACGGTCCATCTTTACGACGTTGTCCTCTTTATTCTTATACACAGCATTACGCAGGGACCGTCTGTATCTGAACAAGACTAAGACAAAACTCCCTGGATCAGAGACAAATGCCCGGAAACTCTATCATAGAGCCCCAGACTCTAGAGGGTTTTTCCTAGTCTTAAACCTGGACGTTCACCTCAGCTCAGCCGGGGCCCCAGACATTTCCGCGGGCTCCATGGGCATACCAGGAATGGACTTCCTGGCCCAGGCCTGACCTCTGTCCCCCAGGTATTTCCATCATGCACAAAAGTATAATTTCTAAGAATTCGTAGCCCAGGGTCGTTGAGAGGCTTTGAAGCCCAGAGAAAAGGGATTGTTTTCCCAGATCATGTAATAAGGAACATATTTTCAAGTACCTCACAATTTAATGGATCCCTCCTGTCCTCTTCTAGGCCCCACGTTAGGACTTACATTTCCCTGTGGGTTCATCGACCTCACTGAAGAAGGGGAGAAATGAGAAAAAGACGATAGAAAGAATGGTCACGGTAAAGAGGATGTACAGCCAGAAGGCTACATTCAGCGGTGATTCAAACCCACACATGAAGATGCAAATAAGGATCCAGGAATTCTCTGTCCCAGCTCCGTCACCTCCTGAGTGACAGACTGATGAAGTCACAGTTTCAGAAACAATGGGAGTAACGAATATCTCAGCGGGGATTCGCCAAGCCTTTAAAAAACCAAACACTGAGGAAAATCAGTTAGCTTTACTTCTGCAAAAGCCTCAGTCGCCCCCAAGCACTGGCCTATATAAGCACAGCCAGGAGGAGGGAAGACTCATACACAAATACTCAGACCAGGTGTGCTCCTGCACTGGAATCATGTCTGTACACAAAGGGAGTGGCCTGTTTCCTCAGACCCCTCAGCTTTAGGACCAGCTTTATTTGGAGAAAAAGATAATCTAAGTTGGAGAGGAAAGAAAGATCAGTTGTTCCCGAACAGAAAATCCCTACCTTTCCCTAGAAGCTCCAGAATTCCCTGTCTCAGTGTACGTATTCCTGTCAGGAGTGTGTGTCCCATTGACTATGGGTTATCTCCCCAGTCACAGGCATCAGGGGAGGGAACTGTTAATTTTCCAAGATAATTATAATGTTGTCTTCTGAACTAAGCAGACTATTAGGCGGCAGTGTTGCTATGATTATCACCAGAATATGTTCCCTTGCTCCTTGGCAGCAGCTCTGGAAACGCTGGGGAGAGAGTCGAGGGATCGGGCCATAGCATCACCTGCTGCACGAACACAGCCTTGCTCACAAATGGAATTTTCTCTGAAGCAGTACCTCCCAAGTTTTACCTTATTACACAAAAACAGTGCCCAGTGCTGGCTTGGACAAGAAATACGAGATCTTAATACTGCCCTCTAGGGGCTTTTCACCCAGCTGAGGAAATAAAACCTCAGGCCGAAAAAGCAAGGGTCATTATGGGCTGGGAAAATTGGGAGATTCTTCTTAGAACCTGGGAGAAGAAAAATAGCTATTAAACAAAGGGAACTAACAGAAGATGGTCTCCTGAGAGTTGGAGTGGCTCCCTGGTTACAGGGGGTGGAAACAGAAATAAGATGCCTGCGTGCCTCTATTGGCTTCATTTTGAGAACACTCTCAGAAGCTGAAGATTTCTTAACCTAGATTTTTAAAAGATGTATTGAGATAAAAATCCATGTTTAGAAGCTGAAATAAAAAACAGTTATTGGGAGTACTTTACTTATTATAACTAATAATCAGTAGAAAACCTGTTATCTACTGTGTTTTGTTTTGTTTCATTTTGAATGCTTTCGACAAAAAGGCCACCACTGCTGATGGACAGGTTAAAACACCTAAAGATATTCAGTGACTCCAGCCCCTCTTTCTCCTCCAAAAAGGCCTTTCCTCCTGACACAGAACTCTTCAATATTTTTATTCTTTTCCATATAAAGTCTGTTTGTGTCCCCTCATATAGACAAATTTTGGGGGGAAACACCACTTTATAATCATGAGTGAGATATTTGAAAAACAAATATTTGCCTTTCTATTTTAAAAACGATGTTTGAGGGGTGTCTGAGTGGCTCTGTCAGTTGGGTGTCCGACTCTTGATTGTGGGCTCAGGTCATGATCTCAGGGTTGTGAGACTGAGCACTCAGGCTTAAGACTCTCTCTCTCCCTTTCCCTCTGCCCCTCCCCACCTCTATCCCTCTAAAAATAAGTAAATGTTTGAAACTTTAAGACTAATTTAATGATCTAAGATACTAAAGGAGAAAAATGTGGGGTTGTTGACATTTAAATGTATATGAAGGTTATATAGAAAGACAATAATAATAGTTCAATGGAACCTCTTTTTAATTTGATATTTAGGATTATTTTTTCAGTGGAGTGGTAATTGAGGAGTGAACAACTTTCTGGAAGTGTTATTCCAGGGCACCATTAGCAGAAGAGATTACTCCTTTCAGCTTTGGAAATGAACCATGATAAACTCTTTGTTTATACAAATACAAGCGACGTAACCACTTTTGTTCAGGAAGAAAACTATTAGGCTAGCTTAAATCTCAATTTAAGCCCCAGAGGTTGAGAGACAATGTATATCTGTTAATAAATACATCAGGCATGTCACCACTCAGGGAGCATTTTGGAAGAGCAATAGTTTCCTGGGAAGGATATTAAGACTAGAACACTGGTGTAGCACACATGAAGATATATAAGCTTAAATACCCAAGATTTGGGGGAAATAAATGGAAAGCGATTGTGATTGCAGTGTGCTTGCAGAAAGGTGAGAAAAATGATGGTTTCCCTCCTTGGAATTAATGATGTCAAAAGGGTGGGAGCTCATCTTGGGCTATTGTTAAGCCCTCCTGACCCAGCAGCCTGAAGAATCCCTGTGAAGAACAGAAAAAGAAGTAGCTAAGGAGCACTGTCATGTAAGCACTACATGCTCTTTGCACTGGATAGGCAACCGAGCTGCATGACCTCCTACCGATTCCTCCCCATTCCCGCGCCCTCTTGTATGCTCTCCCTGAACAGCAGGGGCTGGAAGACTGACAACTACATTTCCCATAAGCCTGGACAGGTGGAATCTGGGCTAGGTTCCACCATGCTAGGTTCTCCCATTTATGGGAGATTTCGTTTTGTAGGGGGTCTTTCCACTTGCCCTGGAAATTGCTAGCCTTGGCTTTTGCAGCATGGTGACCTTTAGCAGTGATTTCCTGGGGTTTTTGCAACTTCATGATGAAGATTTTGTAAGCACACAATTTCCTTTGGCAAACCACTCCCTACTTTAAATACCTAGAGGGCTTTCTGTTTGATGTCTAAATTTACAGCCCTGGATCTCCTTAAATTCATTTAACCCTGGGAAAGATTACATTTTGGGGAGCAGAGCCTTAGATTGGTATTCTCTCATTCCAAAGTAGTGAAACATGAAGAATGAAACATCTGCAAGAAATTTATTGGGCAGATAGGAAAAAAAAGAGAAAGTGAAAGAAATCACTCAGCAGGAAATAATCAAAAATTTAGGAATCAGAAATAGGAAAGACATGCGTAAGCCCAGAAAAGAAGAAGACAAGAAAAATTATTGAAAACTTTTAAAAATAATCAGGCTATTAAAAAAGAATCAATAAAAGTTAATAAATAAGGTATAAAAAGGGAATAAAATGGAAAATGGAAAAAAGGAATGTGGCCCCAGAAACTGCAGGAGGATTTGTGAAGAAAAAAAAAGAACATACCAAGAGACTCGCCCTCCAAAGAAACAGCTGCAGACACAAAAAACAAATACCCCCCTGGCCATTTTGAATAGCATCTTAATAGATATCCATACAGTTTTATCAACATCAAAGTGAATTGGGATTTAATAGTTCTTTATCAAAAGTTATTGTAAGTATTAGACAATGAAGGGACTTTTCCAGGCAGTTTTAACTTCCTATTCGGTGTCGAAATCCCTCACGTAACTGTTCTGACAGGTAGTGCCAGACTTTTCTTTAGCATTTCCACTGACAGGAATTCCTTTCGACTCAAAACAACCTATCTCGTGTCTCCAACTTGGGTATCACTCCCCTCCTTTTCCTTCCCCTCTCTCCTCCCTAACCCTCTGCCCCACTCTTCCCGCCTTCTCTGTCCTTCCTCCACCTCCTCCTCCCTCCTCCTTCTCCTTCTCTCTCTCTCCACAGTTCCTCACACACCTCTCCAACTAGAGGGTTCCGCATGGATGCTTTAATGACCCATCATGACAAAGATGGTTAAAAGAGAACAGAGATGAAGAGCAGGGAAGTAGGTAAGAATGAGAGAATTATGTGGAGGAACTCAGATGAAAATAGTTTCACTTGATAATAAAGCATTTGGGGCGGCCATGAAGCTTTGGGTAGAAAGAGAAAATCTATACCAATTCCTTCTCTAAGCATCTGTCTTCATGAATCTTTTTCCACTGTAAGATATGAAAGGAGTATGGCACTTATATAAGAAAACAATCTGGACAGAACATCTTAGAGTGTTCAGATGAATTAGCCATGTGATAACCTTGGGTAGAGAGAGGAAGGACTCGGCCATGGTCCTGGATTAAAAGTTTGCTTAGTCTAATAGGGACCATGAGCTTTTCTTCCCCTGAAATGATGACTGTTCATGCTGCTTTAGGAGAATAAGATAGCATAAGTCATTCACCTAGGATTTCACCTGGAAGTGGGAAATTTGTTTGGGATTTGGACTGACCGTAAGCAACTGAGTGTTAGAAGCCTTAAGTTCAACAAAAAATTCCTGGTAATATAGAACTTTTCTGAGAGTCTCAAAATATTTATTATCTTTTTTTTTTTTCAGTATAAACATACATAATGAGGGTCTAAGAAGCCCTCTCGTGTCTGGGATATGATGTCACGGGTGATTCCTTAGAGGCTCAACCACTCTCAAACTGATGGTCCAAGGGCACAGATCTCAACCTCAGAACCCCTGGGCTCTCTTGCTACCCTCACAAGTAGTGAGGGATCTCTTCCCAACCCATCTTCCTTCCTTCCCAGAACTTCTCTCCTTGGTGACTCCAGAGGACAGCCTGGAACAAGAAGAAAATTGATTATACCGCTGACCCAGCAGACTGCAACTCCCATTTTGGACAGCAGAACAATGAAAGAGATGCAGATTATAAAATTTTCTATACATCTTTAAACACTCAGAAAAATCCTGTCAGGACAGGACTATATATATGATTCTTGACCCATTGTCTGGGAAATACTTGTCACAAGAGATGACTGTTTCTCAAGTTAAATATATAAAAAATGTTTTAAGCTTGAAAGATTTGTTCCTCAGTGGCCAACCTCTTCTTGTGCTTTGGCCTGATTCTCAAAATATCTGTGCAGAAATCCCACTGAATAATAAAGCTATATAATGTTATCATTATATAACAGTTATATCATTATATAATAATTGTTATAATAATTATATAATGGGATATGTTACATGAGCTGTAAAAGTCAATCCTCACCAAATAGTCCACAACTTTCACTTTACTTAGCAGAGAGAAAACAAAAGTTTAACATGTAACATTCAAACGGAGGGAGTGATATTGTGGACACGAAGAACTCAATGATGTCTAGGTTGAAGGACCAAAAAACCAAGAATCCAGTGTGTTATCTCTCTGTAATTTCACAAGGGAGTCACAGAAGAGCACAAAGGAGGGAAGAGCTAACCCTTACCTGGAGAGGCAAGTACACAATTTGCAGGAATTATGGTCACCTGGTGGTCAGAATGTTCCGCAGAACAATGGGCTTTCAGTCTCCTCAGACTGTTTGTATGATTCTATCCCGACAAAGTCCTTCTGCACTTATCTCTATCACAAAAGCAACCTTATAACAAGTGCCTGGAGAAGAGTCACCTAATTTTTTCATGGGCATGAAAACATGGTAGCTTTGTCACTGAATCACTTGAGAGAGAACCCTGATAAGAGGAGAGACATCATAGGTATAGATGAGAAAAGAGAAGCTTTTCCACCTGCAGGAGACCCTAGATTATGAAGTTAATGAGGGCTCAGGACCAAACTTCTACTTGAAAAATGTTCTCCCTAGAGAGAAGACAGAATTCTTAAGCTAAACAGAATGTGAGGGGGCTGCCTCACTGAGACTAGGTTTGAGTGTGGAGTTTTCAGCCATCTAGCACATGGACCATGGAAGTAACTAGAACCGCCCGCCTTATGGACATAATAAGCCCAGAGGTGAAGAGCAAGGGATACTCACCTGGCCTTCCCAGATGGTCCATCTTTATCTCATCTTCTTTATCCTTACGCACAGCACCATGCAGAGAATACTTGCATCTAAGCAAGACTAAGACAAAGCATGGCGAGTCAGAGACCATCATCTGAAAATTCCTTCACATATCCCCAGGTTCCCCAGGATTTCCTATATCCTTATACCTGGCCTTATGTCAACTCGGGCAGGGCCCTAGATACCTCCTCATGCTCCACAGATGCACCACAAATGGGCTGCCTAGTCCAGTCCTGACCTATGTCCCTCAGGCACTTCCATTATATAAAAGATTATTATTTCTAAAACCTTTAGCCCTGGGTCTTAATGACCTTGAAGATCAGTGAAGAACAGACTTTGTTTCCATGTTCCCCACCTTATAATGTATACCTTCTCCTCCCTCCATACACACTCTCTCATACATCTCATTCCCCTGTGCCCTCCCCCCCCCCCCCCGGTACTTACATTTCTTTATATGTTGGTCTATCTCAAGTAAAAAGGGAGAGAACATGACAAAGAGAAAAAATACAAAAAGCATAGCAAACAGGGCATAGAGCCAAGGAACACCATTTGGGAATAAACTGGCTCCTGGTCCAACCTCTGCCATTGAGATCTAAGAGAGTACATGGAATTCCCTGCCCCAGCTCTCTCACCTCCTAGGTGATCAGGGTGATGAAGTCACAGCTTAGGGCACAATAGGAGTGATGAGGATTGGATAGGGATTGGCCAAGCCTCATTCTGTATAGAAACCAGGACTCTCGGGGAGTTTCACTTCTATTGCAGCTCTATTGAACCAAAAATACTAGACTATCAGGCAAGACCACCAGGAAGGTAGATTGCTACCCAGATACTCAGAATGTGTGGTTCACTGCATGGGAACGATATCCATTCACAAAATGAAGGAACTGCTTCTCCAGACTTCACAGCCCTAGAGTTAGTCTTTGTCAGCAGAATGATGTCTAAGTCGGAAGACCACATTTTCCTGAGAAGAGATTTCAGATCCTTCCCTAGAAGCTCTGAAATACCCCGTCTTTGTGAGCTCATCGTGACAGGACTGTGTGTCACACAGATCATGGGAACCTCTCCCCAGTTGTGTCAATGGGGAGGGAAGAGTTTATCTTCTAAGATGGGGGTTATAGTCTCCTAAATTAAATATAATATCAGGCAGCAGAGTTTCTCCGAATATCACTGTTCTTTCAATATCTGCTAATTCCGAAGCTACCACACAAACCCATGGAACATGTTTCAAAGAACTTCGATCAATCAGTTCTCCCCCATTCAAAAGAGGACCTAACAGCAGAAGCTGTCTCATGCTTCAAGTCACTCTCCCCAGAGATTCCCAGCCCCCTGCTACAGGCAACACCCCAACACCCCATCCCGGCACCACTCCCCCCTGCACACAAGGGTCTCAGATCCTGGTCTGAACTCCACCTTCTCTATCTCTAGCGTGACCAGTGCACACCCACTGACAAGATGCTGGTGTGCCTCCACAGTCTTTGCCAGCTCCCAAGACTTGTTACAGACCATCTCCAGGAGCCTTCACGCCTAATCTCTACCTGCCATGAGTATGTGCTTCCTCTCAAGGTCCATGAACTCCCTCTTGCTCACCCAGAACAACAGAGAGAAGTCATTGACACCACGACACTGCCTAAGAACAAAAACCGTGGCCAGTGCTGGCTGGAACAAGAAGTACGAGGCCTTAGTACTGCCCTCTGGGGGCTTCTCACCCAGCTGAGGAAATAAAACCTCAGGCCAAAAAGGCAAGGGTCATTATGGGCTGGGGAAATTAGGGGATTCTTTAAAGAACATGAGAGAAGAAAAATAGGTATTAAGCAAATGGAACTAACAGGAGATGATCTCCTGAGAGTCAAAATGACTTCCCGGCTTCAAGGAGTATAAAGAGGGAACGAAGATACCTGCAGGCCTTTATTGGCTTCATTTCTGGTTGAGTCTCAGAAACTAAAATTCTTCAACCCAAGCTTGTTTTAACACTTATCAGGATAAAAATTAACGTCTAGAAGCTAAAACAAAAAAAGCGTTGGTACTATTTTACCATTACCATTACGAATAACGCTAAACACTAAAATCTACGTGATTATGTTATTTTGTTTCTGTTGATGCCCTCACACAGAAAGGCTCATGAGCCTTTGGACAGCTTTTCTCGTCAGAGACATTTCAGCGTTCGGTGTTCAGTAGGGACAGGCTTTGTTGGCTATCATTCAAGGCTTGTTAGGTGAATTTAATAAGGGCTTCTATGTGAGTTATAACATTCTATAGACCAATGGAGGGAACAATAACATAGCAAAATGATCACACCGGTGGGAAAACAAAATGCTCCCCCGCCCCCGTCCCTGAGGAGATGGAGGTTGGCAGCTTTAGAAACATGACCTGGTTGTACAAACCGTACATGTCGGCTGGGGGAGGCAGCACTGCCAGGTGCAAGGAGATGGACTGGGATGAGATAGGCCAGAGCAGAACCCCACCTACCCCCTTCTTTCAGTGGTGTATGTTCCATTCCAAGTGTAGTGCATTTTAACAGATCCAGCTTGCGGCAGGGTAATGGGATCCCAGCAGACTGAGTAGTTCCCCTCACCCGGGGTGTGAAGTAACTCACCCATCCTGGTGGGACATCCTAAGTGCAAATTCCCGGAGATAAGTCCTTTTCCAGGTGTGTGGGAGCATGGTGTTCTTAGCAGCATGGCACATCCATCCTCGGTGGGAGTCAGAGAAGTGGCTGTCTCTCATGAATTCCATACCTTCACAATGCTAGGTGCCTCAGCCAGGGTCCCCTGTCTGGCATATGGGACAATAGGCCCTACTGGTTGGTCATTTAAATGTACTAAAGCCTGGGACAGTACAACTCTGCTGCTTGTGGGTTATAGGGAATATGAAACCTCCATTTAATTCCTGACATTTGAAATGTGACCCCCAATCACTATCTCCTTGATGAGAGTATCCATGTATGGTACTCAGTTTTTCTAATCTCCTGGTGATGGCAGCTTGCTGTGCATGGCAGTAGGGAAAGTTTGGGTTAGGTCAGACACAGTGTCCCCACAAACCAAAGCTTGTTTAGAATCTTCATTCAGCAGGAAGAGGCCAATATAATCAATTTACTAGTCTTTCACCAGCAGGGAACTCTTCTTCTCCGTTTGTAAAATTTTGATTGGGAAAGATATTTGGTGTGATTTTAATCAGCTTAAATTTACTAACACTTATTTGTGATGTATGATCTACTCTGGAAAATGTTCCATGTACCATTGCGAAGAATGTATTTATGCTGTCATTGGATGGAACGTTCTGCATATATTTTTAGGCCCATTTTGTCTAAAGTACAGTTCAAGTCCATTATTTCCTTATTGATTTTTTGTCTGGATAATCTATCCATTGTTCAAATCCCTACTATGATTATATTGTTGTTCCTTCAGACTTAAATATTTAGGTGCTCTAATGTCGGGTGCATATATATTTCTAATTATTATAACCTCTTGATGAGTTGACCCCTTATCATTTATAATGACCTTCTCTGTTTCTTTTTATTTTATTTATTTATTTATTTGACAGAGAGAGACACAGCGAGAAAGGGAACACAAGCAGGGGGAGTGGGAGAGGGAGAAGCAGGCTTCCCGCTGAGCAGAGAGCCGGATGCAGGGCTCGATCCCAGGACCCCGGGACCATGACCTGAGCAGAAGGCAGACGCTTAGCGACTGAGCCACCCAGGACCCCCCAAAAAGATTTTTTTTTTAAAGATTTCATTTATTTGACAGAGAGAGACACAGCGAGAGAGGGAACACAAGCAGCGGGAGTGGGAGAGGGGGAAGTAGACTTCCTGCCGAGCAGAGAGCCCAAGGTGGGGCTTGATCCTGGGACCCTGGGATCATGGCCTGAGCCGAAGGCAGATGCTTAACGAATGAGCCACCCAGGTGTCCCGACCTTTTCTGTTTCTTATTACAGTTTTAGCTAATAGTCTGTTTTGTCTGATATAAGCGTAGCTACCCTACTCTCTTTTGGTTTCCATGTGCATGGAATACCTTTTTTCCATCCCTTCACTTTCAGCCTATATATATATAGCCTCAAAACTGAAGTGAGTTTCTTGTAGGTAGTATATAGTTGGGCCTTATTTTTTAATCCATCCAGCCACTCTGCTTGGCTGAGTCTGCTACTGAAACTTCCTATGGAATTCTTCAGTGTAGTCATTGTGTTATAACTTTAGAATTCGTTTGTTCTTAATGGTTTCTACTTCTTTGTTGAACTTTTGTTCATGCATTGTTTTTCTAATTTTGTTTACTTGTTTGTCTGTGTTTTCTTGTGGTTCATGAATTTCTCTAAAAAGCTCTTTCTGAATTCTTTTAACTAGCTGGAATTTAAATAAAAACTTGGAAAAAATGTAAATTAATTCTCTGAATTCTTTGTAAGACAGTTTATAGATCTCCATATCTTTAGTGTCAGTCATTGGAGCTTTATTTATACCCTATAATGCAGCAGCTGCTCTTGTGAGAATTCCTAAAAAAATAGCTTTCATCAACTTTGGGTAATGTTGCTTGTTTATATGAATATCTTTATATAAGTGTTTTGGTAGGTAGAGGAAATCCTGTTATTGCTTTCCCATTATCTCTCATATCAGCTCTATTTATAATAGTCAAACACTAAAAATAACTCAATGTCCAAACCACAGTAGAATAAATAAATTGTGATGTAGTCTCGCATTAGAATATTAAATAGCATTTTTTAAATTTTTTATTGTTATGTCAATCACCATATATTACATAATTTGTTTTGGTGTACTGTTCCATGATTCACTGTTTGTTCATAACACCCAGTGCTCCAGGCAGAACGTGCCCTCCTCAATACCCATCACCAGGCTAACCCATCCCCCCACCC